CGCGCCACCAGCGCGGCTCCCGACCCGCCCCTGCGCGGCCGCGCTGCGCTGCGCGGGCGGGGCGGGGCCGCAGCGCGGTGCCGGTGCGCGGGTCCCTCGTAAAGCCGCAGCGCCCCCGCGCGCCCGGCCGGGCCGCGGGGCCCGGGGCGACGGGCGGGGAGCGGAGCGGGTGCGCTGGTCAGGCCGGGCGAGTTAGAGACTCCGAGTTTGTCCGGTGGTCTGGACAGAAAGGCTTGTGGTTGCGGGAGGCTGAGCTTCCGCCCAAGGGCGCGCTTCGGCGGGTGTTGGAGCCGGCGGGGCGCCGCAGCCATAGGGTGGGGCACTCTACCTGGGGGGGTTATTTAAGAAAACAACGAAACCAAAACAAAACAAACCAACCAAACAAACAAAAAAAACCAATAAAAAATTTGCCTAAACCACGTTTTTTCCTCCCAGCCTGTGAGGGAGCCCCCAGTGCTGGTGGTTCCCTAGCCGGGTGGTGGCCGTCGGTGTTGAGCCCGGGGCCCGAGGCGCTGTCCCGGCCGGGTGCCGGGCGGAACCGCTTCCATCTGCAGCTCCCTGGGGACTGTCAGGACAGCTGCCAGCAAACCTGAAGAAGCAAAATCTTCAAGAGTAGCGAAAGGTCTGGTTGGTGTTAGTAGTACTGTGAGCAGCCTCATGGTAAGCTAGATGAGGGAACTAGCCTCACTGGAAAAGTACTGCTCCAATAGCTATGCTAGTAAAAAGAGGGATGATGTAAATTAGCAAAACGGAGGACTGTGATAGCAAAGTTGTCATTGGATACACAAGTGTTCCTGAAGAAGTAACTCATACTGCAATTGCCCTGTTTTCTTTTTTAAATCCAGTCTGCATTTTATAGTTTCTTCTGACATTAAACTCTTACATCTACAGAATCAGGTCAGTAATTAGGCCAACGTATAAGAATTGTCACTTATAGGACAGTTCCAAATCAATTGTGTTTAACCATGAAATGGACATTTAAAATAATAATGTTAAAAGTGGTGAAAAGAGCAGGATTATCACTACCAGTATACAAGGAGGTTTCTGTGAAAATCTACTAGCCGCTCCTTACATTGACGTTATACAAGCTGATAATTTGCCATTATAGCTTCTCAACATGAAAGTTTTTTAAAAACATAAGTGTGGGACAGGACACATTAACTTGGAACAAGCAAAAGCTACATTTTTATGCCATTACTTGTTCTTGGTTTGGCTTGTTGGTAGAGGTTTGTTTGGGGTTTTTTGTTTGTTTTTTTTTTCCTACATAGCTCATCCTCCCATCCTTTTGTTTTAGTTATCACGAAGTAAGATATAGCATTTTAAAAGTTGGTAATGATAAGACTTAAATATTTCACTTTCTACCCCATTGCAGGAACAAGTTAACTAGATAGATTCACTTGGCCTCTTCACCACTATTGAAGTCTTCCAGCCTTTCTCAACATTTTTTCCAACTATCCTCTTTCTCCCAGGTTTTATCAGCTGTGAATATGTATCTTGTCAGGGAGACAGCCAAGCTACATTTACATCTTATCACCCAGGGAAACAGGTTTAATACCAAACTTCATGTGCTCTGAAGTTATTCCGTGTCTTCTTGTCTCTTTGTTGTCTCCTGAATGAGAGAAACTACTTTCTGTGCTGCTTTAGTTGTGTGTTGTGGTATTTCAGTATTTCTGGTACCTTATGTTTTCAGGTTCAGATCTGTTCTGGAAGCTGCTTAAAACCCAGTCGGCATGTTATTTTATTTAGACATTAAACTAAATGACAACTCACAGCCATATTGCTTCCTTTTCCTTTTGCCTTCTTCACATTTGCTATGCCTGCAGCAGCTCAGTATATTTTACTAATTTTGAGGTACTAGTAATAAACTGGAGTTTCTACCTGCCCATGAAAGTCATGAATTATAAAATATCAGGTGATAGACATAAAGCAAAGGAAAGGCTGCAATTACAGAGAGAGAGAGCGCGGCATCCCTCTTTCTACAAATTGATGGAAGAGTGTTTCTCAGATTGTAGGACTTACAAAGTTAGTCTCTTCCTTACTGTTTCTCTTCGCCTGAGAGTGTTTTGAAGACTCCCAAATGTTTGTAGAAAGCAAAGTATTCCCTTGCTGCAGCCATTTAATTATCTATAATGACTATAGTTATAAAGCTGGCAGGTAATAGTTTTTATGCTGATTATCTTTCCTCATTAGCATGTATAGGTTTTATTTTTAGAATTATTTTAAGATTATTACGACTCTTAATACAATTATGAGTTGGTATTGTTATTTTAAGGTTGAGAATAACTGTTCTGTGATATGCAAGTGCAATTTATTGTAATAAGTTTTTGGGCACTGTGATGACAATGATAAATAGTGCCTCAGAAAATATGTTCCAAATGTTGTGTCTCAGTAGGCTGCTGTTTCAGCAGCTATGGACTTTTTTCTCTCAGGCTCTCTGTTAAGGTAGTACATGTCCAGACAGAAATTATGTCTACAGAAGAACACTTTAAGATTGTAATTCTAAGTTTACGCAGGCTGCATGGCCACTGTAGGAAAAGACTTAGTAAAAGGATGTTTAGAATTCAAGGACACATGGACAAATTTGTTAACCTTGGTGCATGTATGTTGCAATGCACATATTAGTAACACTGATCACATATGATTTCATAATTAAATATGTGATGTAATACAGTGCATGTGCACAAGGGGAAAATAATATACTAGTCCATCAAAAATTCTCTCCTGTCTAAAATGAGGACTTTTAACTTAATGTTAATCCTACTTTACAATAAAACTAAGAACCTCAGCTTTAATTATGTGGGATCACAATGGGAACAGCTCTGTTAGCAACAGAGCAGTCCAGACCGCCAAGAGGCCTTTGGCCCTTGGGCTGTTGGCAGGTGGTGGTGCTCCATGGGCACTAGAGGGGAGTGTGAGATATGCTTTGCCAGTACTGTGTTGATTATTCATCCACCTACAGGCAGGAAAAGAATATAGTCTCAGGGCACAAAGATTTACAGGCTGTCTTACTGTTGTAGAGCCATTATACCATATGCCTTCTGGATCTTTCCAACCTCTGATCCTACATTTTTTTTCCTTCTCCATCAAAATGGTTATGAAAATAAAACAAATATTAAACCTATAAAATAACTTGTGGAGTAGTGTTGGGTTTTTTGTTCTGTTTAAATTTTCTTATCAAAATCCCATTAAAGGCTCTTTACCAACAGCAGCAAGAAAATGGACAAGAAATGAGTATCAAGCATAAATATTTGACATGCAAGGGTGATTTGGAATATATATGGTGTTACTTTTGGTCGAAGAAACATCCCAGGGTTCTGAGGGAATGCAGGTATAGCTGCTAAACCATCCTCCACCATATTTGAAAAGTCATGATAGTCAAGCTGTGACTACCATTCACAGTGTGAATACCAGTATTACCAGTAACTACCTCAGTGACTGGAGGAGAGGGAGTATCACACCCAGACACTGAGAACTGCTGACCAGTCAGCCTCACCTTTGTGCCCAATGAGATCATGGAGCAGGTCTTCCTGGAAGTTATGTCAAAACATATGGAAGATGATCATATGAAGGTGATTAAAAACAGCCAACATGGCTTCACCAGGGGCAAATCATGCCCGACTAATCTAGTGATCTGTGATGGAGTGACTGCATCAGTGGACAAAGGAAGAGTAACTGATGTTACTTACCTACAGCTTCTGTAAAGCCTTTAATGCTGCCCCCTAACGCTTTTGCTGCTAAATTGACATAGATTTGGTGGATGGACTATTAAATGAATAGGGAATTGTATGGCCACAACCAAAAAGATACCAATGCTGAGTGGTGTTCCTCCAGGGGTCTGTTTTTGGACCAATAATATTTAATATCTTTATTAATGAAATAGATAGTGGGATTGAGTGCACCTTCAGCAAATTTTTGGATGACACCAAGCTGAGTGGTGGAATGAGGAAGGGATGCTATCCAGAGGCCCTTAACAGGCTTGAGGATTGGCCTGTACAAACATCATAAAGTTTAATAACACCAACTACAAGGTCCTGCACCTGACTTGAGGCAACACCCTGTACCAATATAGACTGGGAGATGAATGAATTGACAGCAGTCCTGTGGAGAAGGGAATACTGGTGGATGAAAAGCTGGACATGGCCCTGCAATGTGTGCTCACAGCACAGAAAGCCAACCGTATCCTGGGCTGCATCAAAGGTGACATGTCCACCAGATCAAGGGAGGTGATTCTGCCCCTCTGCTCTGCTCTCATGACACCTGGAGTGCTGCATCCAGCTTTGCGACCCCCAAGAAGGATGTGGACCTGTTGGAGCAGATCCAGAGGAGAGCCACAAAAATGGCCAGTGAGCTGTTGTAGCTGATGGATGTTTGAGATTTTCTCTTATTCAGTATAGGGGTTGCATTTGTATTGAAGAATAAATAAGAGAACTCAAAGTACCTGAAGGGAAACAC